CTTGGAGAAGACCTCGGCTCTGAAAGGGTCGCGTCGTGGAGCAGGTATTAGTGCTCTGCGGCCTTGGTTCTGACGCGCATCATGGCGTGTATAGCGTGTCTCGGAACAATGATGAGCTTTCAAGTTTCCAGCAGCAGGCCGCAAAGGTCTCTGTCGGGGCTGAGGTGCGGTGGAGGCGGTGTGTGGTGGGGCTGGGCTGGGCTGCGTGTGGGGGTGGGTGCGCCCCCCCCCCCCTCCTTTCCAGTTCACCTTGTTTGTTCGCCCTTCCTCCCGCTCTCTCCCCCGACCCAATCCCTCTCTCTGTGCTCGGTGCGTTTTGCTGACGGAGCAATTATAGAGCGGGACAAACTAAGGAGGAAGAGGTGGGGGTGGTGGCCCCCGCTCAAACTGTCGCCCCCCGCCCCGCCTCGGGGTCCCCGGGGTGCTCCACGGCTCCCGAGCGCCAGCTCAACTTTTCAGAATTGATTACTTCCAAGCAGCGATGGCTTTGATTTGCATTTCTGATGCCTGGAATGAATGGGTGGGCGGCGGAGGGTGGTGTGGCGCGGGAGGCGGCGCTCCCTTTAAAGCTTTCGCCCCTGCTGTCTCGTTTTGTTGGCGACGCTGTCGCCCACTCTGTCGTTTTCTTCCTGACCGGTTTCGAATGGATGACCTGCTGTGCTGTGACATTTTTCCCAACCCCGCGTCCCTCTCTTTTTTTGTTCGCAGAGCCATGGACCGGACGCGGACCCGGACGCGCCCTCCCTGGACGAGGAGATGGAGAAGGTGTTCGCCATGGGCGCGAGCGACAAGTTCAGCCTGGCGCGCCTGTCGCCCAGCGAGCCCAACGAGCCCACGCTGGGCGGCCGTTTCAGGGAGGAGGACCACAGCTGTGAGTGAAAAGTTTCATGATTCGGATTGGCATTAGACTGCGGCCAACTTTTTTTTTCAGTTTCCCCTTCTATTACCAAATCCCTCGGTTGAAAATTACTTTAAGAGGCTGGGTGACAAAACCAAAGGGTTTTGCGGTTATAGTGCGAACGTATTTTTTTTTCACTCATTTCACTGCCGTTCCTTTCTGTCCAGACCGGCGCAAGAGCTACCAGCACACCCACTCGCCGCTCAAGCCGCTGCGCCTCCACGAGCTCACGCGCGCCCGCTCCGGGTCCATGAGGCGCCAGCGGACCTCTGAGCCAGGGGGCAGCCCGGGCGCCTCGGCCCCGGCCTCGGCCCCGGCCTCGGCCCCGGCCGCGCAGCCCGAGGATCCCTCGTCGCCAATCACGTCCACGCCGGCCGAGGTACGTAGCGGCGGGAGCGGCGCAAAAGGGCAAATGAAGAGGAAAATACAGAGTTTTTATTTTATTTTTTACAATGAGGGGAGAGGGGGGGCTTCCGAGAACAAATGATGATGGCTTCATCAGTGGGAGGCGGGCTTCCCTTTATGCCGGTTATTCCTGAACGGGGGCGCGCGCGCGGCTCCTCGCTGGAGACCGAAAATAATATAAAAGGGGGATGAAACCGGTGAAACCCGTCTGTTGCGTGCCTCGCTCTATGAGGCGGGTAAATTTAAATGACATCTCTCATTTTGACGGTGACGGCGCTGAGCGGCCAGGACTATAACCGGCTCAGCACTGCTAAGTCATCATCTCTGAAAGCAGCGCGCACCGGCCAGGTGGCCGGTTGGCGGCCGGACTGTGCTCGACGGGGAGGGTCTGGTCGGAGGGGAGGCCTCCCGCTGGGCTGTGGCGCGAAGCTGCCCCCGGGTGTTGCCTACCCAGCGGGTGCCCGGCGCCGCCAGACAGCCAGACAAACGCACAAAGGAAATCGGGTTACCACGAACAGAATCTCATTTCTACGTGTGGCGCCGTCTTATCCGTGATCGAGTTTCAGCAGCTCTCCTGTCGCGGCGAAAGCCAAGCCGTCCGCCCTTCTTCTACGCCGCCGCCGCCTCGCCGAACGAACATTTCCTTCGACGTCTCGAACAAAGCGGGAGGCATTGGCAATTCTCCCGGCGTCGTGGCGACACGCGTCCGAGATTCCATTCCGGCGGAGGAGTTGGATCGCAATCCTCACCTGAATTGAACGCCCCCTGCGGTGTGCTTACAGGAGGGCGCCGACAAGGCCCACCCCCTGGCCGGCGTCCTGTACAGCAGCCTGCGGCCCAGCCCCGGCGCCAGCCCCCGCACCAGCCCTCGGCCCAGCCCGCGGCCCAGCCCGCGGCCAAGCCCTCGGCCCAGCCCTCGGCACAGTCACAGCGCCTCGCTAGCCTCGCAGGGCTCGCAGGAGTCGCGGGGGTCCCAGGAGTCGCGAGGCTCAGCCGACACGGAGACGACCCTACCAGCGGGCAGGTTGGTGTCATACAGCGCGTCTTTCTCTGGCTTCTGTCGTCTACTACACATTCAATATAAAAGCAGTTGAGGTGATATAACGCGCGTCCCCTTTCTGAGGCACAGCCCCTTACCTTTCTGCCTCGCCTTTCACTACCCCCTCCAGGACTAGAGAGTCCTCCCCTTTCCTTTTATTTTTACTCGGCATGTGTCGGATTTCGAGAAAGGGGCCTAAGGGGAGTGGGCAAAGGACAAATTACATTTAGGACTCGTCATGTCTTGCGCAACTTGCCCCGGTCTGGGCGGCAGGGTGGATATGTGTGTGTGTGTGTGTGTGTGTGTGTGTGTGTGTGTGTGTGTGCGTGTGCGTGTGTGTGAAAGGGGGAGGTGAAAAGACCACAGGAGGTAAGAAGGACGACAGGGAGAACACCTTCAGAGTGATACAAAGCGCCCTTGCTCTCCCGCAGTCTGAAGGATGAGGTGGTCGACGACGACCCCGACTACGAGCTGGAGCGGCGCGACAGCGTGTCGGAGGCGCTGCTGTCGGAGCGCGCCGGCTCGGGCTCCGGCTCGGGCCTGTACCACGACGTGGACTCGGAGGCGCTCAAGCGGGTGCAGTTCCACATCGGCGGCATCGCGGAGGAGCGGAGCGGCACGACGCCCGAGGGCGAGGAGCCGCCGCACGACGCCAGCCAGGACGCGTCGTCGCCGCACCACCCGGGCGACCAGACGGCGTCCCCCAAGGAGGACCGTCGCGCCAAGAGGAAGCACACGTAAGTGAGGTGACGGGGCCGGCGGGGCCGGCGGCGACTGAGCAAGCAGCCCGAGTACACAAGGCTGGCGGGGAGGGCGGGGTGCCCCCCGGGGCCCGGGGTCCTGGTGAGGTGCGCACACCGCTTACGACCTTGCCCCTCCCCGCTCTCCGGTCCCGGGCCGCCCGCCACGCCGCCGCCCCCTAGAGCGCCTGCGAACCGATGGGTAGGCAACCCACGGGCCGCGGCGCACGCCTGTTGAGCAGCTGGCCTACCCCACGGCGCCCGGCTCCCGGCCGCAAGCCCGCTCTGCGTTAGCTCTGCGCAGCGCGCTCCTTACGCGTCCATACTTTTCCCCTGTCGACGCAGGCGCCACCACCACCATCACCATCACCACCACCGCTTCCATCGGAAGTTCAGCCTCCAGGAGGACCTGGAGTGGCGGAAGAGGTCGGGGGCCGAGTTCCCTTCGCAGAGCGAGCGGCGTCGAGCCAGTGTGCACCCCGAGGAGGCCGCCACCCTGCACGAGATGGACCTCGAGAAGCTGACAAGTGAGCGACGCGCGCCGGCACGTAGGGTGTACACTCCTCAGGGAGAACTCTAAGCAATGACTCTAAGCGATGTCCCGTCTTGCTCCACAGGCCACCGCTTCGACGACGTCAAGGGCATGCGGCGCTTCAAGATCCTGCACCAGGGCGGCACGGGCGCGCACGCGCACAGCGCGCTCCCCGGCGACCGCCTGGGCTTCTCCAAGCGCGTGTTCGACCACACGCCGCACGAGGTGTTCGTGCAGCTGGACGAGCTGTGCGGCGAGGGCGAGGACCGCGAGTGGAAGGAGACGGCGCGTTGGATCAAGTACGAGGAGCACGTGGAGGAGGGCGCGGACCGCTGGGGCCGGCCGCACGTCGCCTCACTCAGCTTCCACTCGCTGCTCAACCTGCGCCGCTGCCTCGAGACGGGCGTGGTCATGCTGGACTGCGAGGAGCACGACCTGCCCGGCGTGGCGTACCGCGTCGTGGAGCAGATGGTCATCTCGGAGCTCATCCGGCCCAAGGACAGGGTGACGGTGATGCGCGCCCTCCTGCTGCGGCACCGGCACGTCAACGAGCACGAGCGCTTCCGCTTCGGCATGAAGAAGGCCTCCGTCAGCTACACCAGCCTGCAGGTAAGGGGGCCGCGGAGGCACAGTCGCCTCAAGAACATAAGAACGGCTATCTATCCAACAAGGTATTCTACACACTCTATACAAAGTCCTCTCTGAGCTGGATATCTTACTGGATTCATTTGTTCAACTAATGGTCGGTTATAAAACCAACTGCACAACTTTCCGTGCATTCAATTTCTGAAAAATACACTCACACGGCTTTGGTGGTTCTGCTGCCAGTCCCTAGCAGCGGCGGCGGAGGCTGGTCGGTGCCCACTGTGCGCAGAGCCTGACGACTGCGAGTCTTACTACTACCAGTCATCTTCATATGTAACTCTATAATTTTGTTAACCAATAGTTCAGCTCCTGCCTTTACTTTTTATTTTCTTCTTTGCGCTCGAATGTTTCTATACACTTTAGTTGATGCAATTGCCACTTTGCAACCTTCTCTGCTGAAGCCCACATCTGTATTATACCAAAATCTATAGTTTACCGTGTTTGTTGCCTTCAACAGGATTGCTGAATACGCCAATGTTTAACTTCCGTAGGATTCAAATTTTACCAATACATCACTGCTGTGATTAGCTTTTTAAGTACATTGAATTTTATTTTTATTTGATGCTTCATTTAAAGAAAAAGCATAGTGATGACAGAGTTTAGTGTTCCACAGTGCATGTAAAAACCAGATCAACCTGTAAACGTGCTTGCATCAAATCCATTGTGCTTTTACTATACTGATAGAAAATGAAGTACTCTACCTCTACCTCAACAAGCATCAGACAAGCTCTCATTCAGAAATTTTATCAACAGAAATGATATTTTCATTACTTATATTGAAATTTTTAAGTATCTAAAATTTTCTGAGGGAGCTATGTGTTATTATTTTGATGATATAGTTACGATAGCATTAGTTTATTTGAAATAGTAGACATGACTCACATTTTTTTTATCTCTGCAAGGTGGCCCACCAACCCTCGATCATTTTGCAGATTTACTGAACCTCACGCACGCGGCACGCGTTTCGCGGGTTGCCTGCTCGCTCGGGGCCGTAAGGCGCGATTAATGATACAGTATGACTACAAAATGATCAGGGCTTGGTGTCCCAGGGATCCGTGGCCCACCCTAGATTTTAGTATCTTTCTCAACTGACAGACATTTGAAATTAGGTAGAGTATTTAGGAGACCGCAGAGAGAAAAAAGACATAGTCCTAGTCGCAAATGTAGATAATAAGTAGAGATTGGTGAGGCATTCTTGGCGATAACTTCAAGAATTGATACTGAGCTAGCTAGAAAAGTCACAGGCGAAAGAGTTGAATAGAATCTGATCAAAATAGATTCAATTTTTAATATTATTGTACAGTTTTGCTTTTGTATTACCTGCCTTACTTAAGTTTGTAGAAATAATTTTTTTATCAATGTGGAATCTCACTTATATTTATTTGTTCTAGAATTTAAATGATGACAAACGGCCAAGGATTATTACGCCTCAAACTAATTTAAATGCTTCACTGAAAGATGGTTGCAACAACTCTTCGAATCACAATGATGGGAAACATAAGGATAGTCTTGTGGTAAGCATCAAATGACCTTTATGACCTTTAATTATACTAACTCTACTAGGATAAAGTAATTCCCTAATTTAAATTTCAGATTGATATGAAGGAAGAAACTACTTACAGTTCTTCAACTGAAGACCTCAACAAAAAAGGGACCAACGACACTATTTTGAAAAGAATACCTGTGGGAGCAGAAGCATTGACTGTTTTGGTTGGCTCTGTAGATTTTTTGGAACAGCCAACTATTGCCTTTGTTCGATTGGCAGAAGGAAGTCTGATGCCAGCTATCACAGAGGTAGGTGAAGCAAAAAATGAGTACCATCTGAAAAATCCACAAAACTTTGAAAAGAACACTTTACACTTACATTTATGATTAAGTGCCTTAAACATGATTTCTTCTAGGTGTCCATCCCTGTGAGATTTATTTTTATTTTGTTGGGCCCAGTCAATGCAGATATGGATTACCATGAGATAGGTCGCTCTCTTTCAACTTTAATGGCTAATCAGGTAAAATCTTAAATAATTTTCACTGTATTCACTACTCTGCTTCTTAATTTAAGATGTAACTATTGTAGTTATGAATTCACTATCCAATGATATTTTTCATAATCCTTTGAACAGTCATTTCATCAAATAGCCTATAAAGCTGAACATAGAACAGAGTTATTATCAGCAATAAATGACTTCCTGGACTGCAGTATTGTACTCCCCCCTGGAGACTGGGAGCGTCAAGATCTCATTCCTTTTGATGACATTAAGGCCAAAAGTGATGCTATTCGTCGTCGAAAAACAACCAAACTATTAGATACCGATGAGCTGCAGAAAGGTATGAATAATACCAAATCAAAACAAGGCCTAAGATATTATTGTTATTAAAACTTCTATACTTTGTTAAATAGCTCTCTTGGAACAAGCTGCAAAGAAAGCTCTTCGCCCTGATCCCCTAAGACGCACAAAGAGACCATGGGGAGGTCTTGTTAATGATGTTAAACGTCGATTACCCTTTTATTTGTCTGATTTTAAAGACGGTTTCAATTTACAAACAATTGCAGCTGCCATTTTTATGTATTTTGCTGCACTCTCAGCTTCTATCACATTTGGTGGCCTCATGGGTTTGTACCAATATTATTTATATTTGATGCACCTATCATACTGTTGACAGTAGAGAAATTCCTTCACTTCATATTATCTTACAGGTGACAAAACTCAAAACATGATTGGTATATCTGAAACTCTAGTAGCTACCTCTATAGCAGGTGTTGTCTTTGCGCTTCTTGCTGGACAACCCTTAGTCATTGTTGGTGCAACAGGACCCCTCTTGCTTTTCGATGAAAGTCTTTTCAATGTAAGTTTACCTAAAGTCTTTCCTACGCTCAAAAATTAATGAAAATTTACAGAGGTGGATTTCAATGTTTCAGATGTGTAGTTCTAATGGGATTAATTACCTTTCAATGAGAGTATTCATTGGCATCTGGCTCTTTGTGATTGCATTTATTGTTAGCTGTTTTGAAGGCAGTGTCTTTGTGAAAGTGTTCACACGATTTACAGAAGAAATCTTTGCTTCTCTTATCTGTATTATTTACATTGTTGAAAGTGTAATGAAACTCTTTAAGGTAAAATATAAATACTTTTTAAAAATGGATATAAGCTGATTTTAGGGGCATTAAAGACTCATGGGTTGATAATTTTCCATTTCAGATCTATGAAACCCATCCACTCAGGTCATTGGCTGACTATTGCGAGGGGTCGGGAAAGTATATACCAATTGGAGCGTTGAGTTCAATTGAAAACTTCACCACCTTAAATGATGACTCAAACGATTTTGCTGGAGAGGGAACCACATTGTGAGCTAACTGTAAAATAAAATTGAAGAAACCTGAAACACAAATTTATTTTTGTTGTTTAAATTTTAATATTTTCCAGATCTAACACCAGTGTTACTATTTCACCAACTGGATATCGAACTACAAAGGACCTGCCCGTTAGCCAACCAAATACTGCATTATTTTGCACAATTTTGGCTTTAGGGACGTTTTTTATAGCTTATTATTTGCGTCAATTCCGCAACAGCAAATTTCTTGGACGAAGTGTGAGTGAATGCTGTCATGTCTTTGAAAATAATCAAGGTTTATTCTGAATTTGCTAAAAATAATTTGGACTCATATTGTTTCCAGGCTCGACGAGCATTAGGAGATTTTGGTGTACCAATTGCTATTATAGTAATGGTCTTGATGGATTATTTAATACCTGGAACTTACACAGAAAAATTAAAGGTACCAGAAGGTCTTTCACCCTCTAATCCTGAAGTACGAGGTTGGATTATCTCTCCAGCAGGAGGAAGTGAGCCAATACAGTGGTGGGTAGCATTTGCTTGTGTAGTGCCAGCTCTTCTAATCTACATTCTTCTCTTCATGGAGACACACATCTCTGAGTAAGTTAAATCAAATCATGCCTTATGAAGACTATCAGCTAGTTGTCAAATATGTATATTTTAATTGTCTTTTAAAACATATTTTAAACCTTCAACAATTTATTTTAGGCTTATCATTGACAAAGAAGAAAGAAAATTACAGAAAGGCTCTGGCTTTCATCTGGACATAGTGTTAATATGTTTCCTGAATATGGGTTGTGGTTTCATGGGTGCTCCATGGGTGTGTGCAGCAACAGTACGGTCCGTAGCTCATGTATCTGCTGTCACAGTTATGTCTAGAACTCACGCTCCTGGTGATAAACCACACATCATAGAAGTTAAAGGTATCGGTATCATTGATAATTTACAGTACTAAAAATAAAGATTAGTTCTCAACATAAACTTTCCAAATTACAGAACAACGCCTCAGTGCTCTTCTGGTGTCAACAATGGTGGGGCTTTCAGTTTTAATGTCGCCTCTACTTCGTCTTGTGCCAATGTCAGTGCTTTTTGGAATTTTTCTGTACATGGGCATATCTTCAATAGCAGGTATTCAATTTTTTGAACGCCTTAAACTATTTTTTATGCCTGTAAAACACCATTCATCTGCACCCTATGTCAGAAAGGTTAGTAGCTCCCCACTTCGTTTTAATTTTTATCTATCTAGAACTTGTAATTATTTGAATTCAACTTTTTAAATAGGTTGCAACATTCAAGATGCATATGTACACATTGATTCAACTGCTATGTTTAGTAGCTTTGTGGGTTGTAAAATCAACTGTACTATCACTAGCATTCCCATTCTTCTTGTTACTGATGGTTCCTCTTAGAGCTCAATTGAGTCGTGTGTTTACACCAATTGAACTGAGAGCTGTAAGTAATCCGATCATGAGAAAGTCCACTTCCCCATAATGATTTGTTTTAAAAATATAAACAAACTCTCTATTTTTCTTCTTTTTTTTGTATGAATTCTATTCAGCTGGACAGCAACAAACCTGATGATGATGATGATGAACCTGATTTCTATGCAGAAGCTCCACTTCCAGTTTAAGAAACTGTAATGTAACCATTCCAAAGTACTCAGGTAATACTACTCAAGAGGCCTCCCAGTTATGGCTAAAAGTATGTATTATACAATACATCTTGGACAGAAAAAGGAAGATGTCCTCTGAAATGAGAGTTTTACAAAAATGTTGTAAATAAAAGTAAACCAGTGTGACAAAAAGTGACAACATGGTGACAACTCATCATATATGTATATATATTTGGGCTGTGGTGCGTAATGTCAGTACCTGGTCTTCTTGACTGGCAGAAATGCACAATGATTACATTCTTATTCCTAAGGAGTTATGTGAACCCCAAGGGGAAGTATATGTATATAGCATTTTCTCTTCCTACTTGAAATATGAATCAAGTACATTGTATATTACTTAGATTATTTCATTAGATTTTTTAAAATAGCTCAATTTAACAAATTTTAATGAAATTATTTTTAACAGTATTTAAGTAAATTTTCCTGTGATTCTAAACAAATTATATCATAATGTAGAGATGACAAGTAAGATTTGTGCCTTTTCAGTATCTTTTATGTATTACTATCATAGTCTTAGATAAATATTTTGAGATTTTATGGAGAGATTGATCTATGTGATGAGTTAGGTAGGATTTATGTGATTGCAGCAAAGATAGATGTTACTTTGATCAACTTCAGATAAGAAACTAGACCAAATTGGTAGAATTTTATAAACAAAATCCACAAATATGCACAGAATTACTTAAACTTATTAAACACGTGCAGCAGCATTCAATTTTTGCGGCTCAAAATTTTGTTGCAGTAAGCGCAATGAACGGTTCAGCATGTTTTGTTGAGTCCTGGCAAATGCTCACTCTGTTAAGACATGTAGATGCATAAACCATGCATAAACTGCATTTGTCTAGTCCGCTGATGTGCTTACCGGAAATAGTGGTGCCCACCCTTGTTCTTGGTGCTGAATACCTGGTCACCAGATTAACCCCTTTTGTCTTTGAGGTATATGAGGTACACAACAATTTGAGAGGTTCAGCTTCCGCTACTCTGCCCTGCAAATTATTTAACTATGCCGCTACACCTTGGCTACGCAGAGTAAATTCTTGGCAAGATACATACAACTCATGATCAATACCTTTGCATACATTGATAGGACAAATTGAGGCACATTGTGCGCACAGCACAGAAAAGACACTGTAATCCCATATATGCACACTATTTTTGTTGAATCTATTACTGTATTCATTAAGGAAATGCTGCAGACTCCATTCCTGTGATAATCTCTTGTGAACCGAAATATAGAAGCTATCACTATTTTTTTCGTGCATTGCCTGTAGCATTAAGTATATTGTCTGCTCAAAAGAATCTGGTGCTTGATGTTTTATTTATTTTTAAATGAATGTTCTGTAGGAGAGTCCATTACAGTACTAAGCCCTGCTAATGCATATTTGTGCTAGTGCCAAAAAACTGTCTATAGACACTCCTCAATTTGTTTGTTCTCTTACAAAGGAACTATATGCATTCAATGAAAATACAAATACAGTAATCTAAGCAGAATAACTAGATCAGAATGCACACATCAAATATTGTGAGGTATGTGTAGAAAACAATGAAAGTAGCTGCACTGCAATTACCTAATTAGATTGAGGCTACACTTATTCCAAGTAGGGTAAAAAAATGAAAACAGAACTGCTTATAGCTTTGTTGAAAAAATTTCTGTAATTTCTTTAGAAAACAAACAAACTTGCTTTCACTGTTGGCTGTTTTTTGGTGGGGATTGGATTGGGTGATATTAGTTGTGAAGATTTGTTTCATAAAACAGCTCTACTTCTTTCAAATGTAATTTTCACAGAAGTCAATATTGTTGTATCAATAGTTTAAGGCCATGTCATTTTCTATGCTTGAGAAAACCCTTTCTTGAGTTGTATGAAAACTTCGTAATGTGAAGAGAGCTTTCACATTACAAACTGATAAGAAAACTTCAAACTATGAAGTGGTTTAGATGTGACTTACAACACATTAATCTGAATCCAACTACATACTAGTTTGTTGGTAATTCTTTGAAAGCTGGTATATTTTTGACAATTTTGACTAAAGGCATATCTTTAGTGTCACCAGTATTATTCACTGTACTTCCCTTGTACTGTTTCATAACCTGAGCTATCTTGAATAAATGGAACTATTTATTTAATTCAATGTGTAACTTGGTATTCATTTCACACAAAATAAGGGGAGGAAGAGAATAAATATGAAAGTTGATTGGTTATTTTACATACCCATCACATGTATTAAGCTACATCCATTTCATCTTCGTTGTCATCTTCTTCATCATCGTCTTCATCATCATCTTCGCTATCACTTCCATCACTACCAGACTCATCCTCTTCACTATCTGATCCTAGCCACTCCTCATTTTGATCATTAGGGACTAGAATCTTCCATTCATCTAATTTGTGAAGATCTAGAAAAAAACAAAACAAATTTTGCTTAATAAAGAAGTACTCAATTTACTTTTTCAAAATTGCAAATAGTCAAAGGGGCATAACTTGCCTAGGGAGTAGAAGTCATTGAAAGTAAATCGACGATCACCATCTTCCGTCATACCACCAAATAAGTAAAGCACACCATGTTTCACAACTAATCCACAACTCATCCGGGTGGATGGTGTGAAGACAGTTGTCAAACTTTTATTATCTACAGAATCTGAGGTTGTACTAGAGGGGGCAGGCCCCATGGTCACTTTAAAGATGCCATCATCTGATATGGTAGTAACGGTAGCTGGTTCAACCTGAAAATAAGTTCATCAATACAAACTTGTCCATGATGAAGCTAATGCTATCGATGTTAATAAGAGGATAGGTAAGGTCATTCTCAAACACTTATATATAAATATATATGATAGATGCAAAAGTTACTCACTTCCATTTCATTCCCTTCATCATCTGACTCCTCACCATCTTCATCACAGTCCATTCCTTCACCTTCTTTGGCTTTTCTACGTTTACGCCTTGTCTCTTTCTTCCCGCTTAAAGAAACTGCAATTGAAACAGAACTTACATGTAAATATAATTGACAAGAGTTTATCCACACACATTAAACACAATAGCAATGGATGCATTTAACCTACCTGTTCTCCATGAGAACTTTTCTGTATCAAGCATATAAAAGTCATTGAAAAAAGTTCCAGCAAGATTTTCATCATCATCCTCTGTATCAAACACTCCTCCAAATGCATAGGCCTTGTTAGCAGAACTCATAGCTATGGCCATCCCACATCTTGGAGATGGTTTAACTCCACCTTGTTTCAAAGGCTGCCATTTCCACTTAGTTTGATCATGCTCTGAAAGAAAAACAAACATTAGTTTGACAGAAGAAAAATAATCCAAGCGGAAGCAGTAGGATTGATTTATAGACTTACTTTCAGGTGACAAGAGAAACATATCAGTATGCACAGTGCCCTTATCAACATCTTTCTTAATACGTTCCTTGCTGTAGCCTCCACTAATCAGTATCTTACCATCAGCTAAAGGAATCATCTGGCAACCAGATCGCGGAAGTGGTGCTGTTCCTGGGAGCAAAGAAACACAATTTTCAAACCAAGGACACAAATTCAATCACAATTTATTTATCAAACTAATAAATATTGAGATTGTCTTGTAAACTCTGTTCATCCTACCTGAAGGCACTATTTTCTTCCAAGTGTAATTCTCAAGATCAAAGGCATACACATCATTGAAATATTTGTAATCTCTGAGATTGTCATGGAATCCTCCAAATACTATTAGATGTTTCTTGACACATACCATACGATGGCCACTGCGTGCTGATGGACCACCAGGAGAACTAAGAGAATTGTGAATGTTGTAGGATTATAAAGATGACCACAAAACGTCTGGATTGCCTGAGATTCCCTTGAGAATGTCAGGTTTACTAGGCCCAGAACAATATTCATATCAAATAATATTGCGATATTTTCATTCCATGTACAGTGCTTACTTGATTTTCTCCCACTGCTTTGTTGCCATGTGATAGACCCACAAATCTTTGTAATGATAAAACTGTGATTGAGTAGGGCTAGCATATTCTCCACCAAATACCCACAATTGGCCTTTATTAGCTGCCACAGACACCATTTGATGACCGCTTCGTGGGGGTGCACAGCTTGGGGCCTTCAACACTTTCCATTCATTTCGGGGTATATTGTAGATAAAAAGGTCATTGTATAGGGCAGTCTAAACAGAGAGATTAAAAATTCATATTGAACAAACATTAAATTCTCTCTCCTATTGAAGGTTTACTCACCGTTTGGCCATTGAAATACTCGCCCCCAAATAAGATTAGTTCCTCCTTCTCTGGATGTGCTACAAGGGAAAAGTTGACCCGCCGGGAGGGAGGGCCAACAATGTGTTCCACAACTTCACGTCGTTTCCGTTCTTCAGCTTCGATCTGAGCAACTATACTTTCAATGTCATCCTGCAATAACGCAAAATAACACGTTCAGGTGAATCAAATAAACTTAGATACGCAATGACAACATGCAAAAAAGTCGCAATCGGAAGGGGAAAATAACTTCCAGTGATACGGGAATGCTGTCATGTTATATGCGAATATTCAAAAATCAAAATTTCTGTAAAAAGCGTATTGAACAACGGCACAAGGGGTTAAAGTGATAAATCATAACGCACCTCTCCAATGGCAGCGAGTTCCTTTTTCTGCTTCGCAGTCAACTTTTTTTCCGTTTTGGCCGCAGTCTTTTCGGCACCTTTGCCTTTCTTGGCCTTTTTATCTTTTTTGCCCATTCTATACACTTCAAACACACGTGTTCTGAGTCTGAGATTTACAAACAAGGTGTCAGGAGGAACGCGACCGCGACGTGAACCGGTATTTATGTGAACATAGGAACAACAACGGAACAACAACAACAACGGAACGGAACGGTGCGGAAAGGCGGAAAGCGGCAACAGGTGCACCAATCCACTTAGTCTACCTAACACGATAACTTTAACTTTCAGCTACTATCAAAGGTCAAGAATCTCTCAGGGTGGATATTTTTAGAAGCTTTTGTAGAAAATTGAAATATTTTTAATCCATCTCTAGTCAAATTGGATGAGGTTTGAAAATCCATCGGAGCAAAGAGTGGGCTGGAAAGAAAATAGGCGGCACCCATTCAAACAGCGGCAGCTTCGGAAACTTGCAATTAACGGAATTTATCAAATAATAATTATAATTACAATTGTTTCTGGGCAAGTTGAGAATGTCCTCTCCATTGATGGAACATAGGCGATATCACAAACACAGAACTAAAATAAAGCCTAAAAAAAGGAATGCTAAAAGTTCTCATTTTAAGGTGAGCATTTTGTGATATGATGTTCAGGTGTTCTCTAGTAAATAGTCCCTTTAAAGAATGATAGCCACGTGACAACCCGTTTTGGGTCAAAATTAGTAAATTTAAAGATTGATATACCTTTCACTTCAAGGAGTTTGACAATCTGCAATTTGGTTGCAGGAATCGCACAGTAAAGTGAATCAACTACCACGGATAACTGACAAAAGGTTGACGGTATGTTAAAGCTTTGTGTTTCTGATGTTCTTACTTTTGTATTTGATACTCATAGGAGTCAAAATAACAACACTATTAACGCTAACTTTTTTAGAACAAGAACGGCTTTAACTTGAAAGGAGCTATATCAACATCCCCCTGTTCTAGAGGAACTAAAGGTAACGTGAAAGATTTTGTCGTGAGAACACCCTTTAATTCTGATTTTGGCAACATTCTGAAATAAATCCTCTGCACTTTACCAGCCCATAATGTTAAGAAAGGCACAGTCGATTATGACTTGAAACGTCTTCTTCAGGATGCGAAAAATAAAGTGTATGTAAATTCAAATTTTTCACATGATTTTATTTGGACTCATTTTCTTTACTACTCTCCAATTAAATGTTCCCTTTTCTTTTTAGTTCAAAAGATATCTCCAATTCTGCATCCACTTGCTCAACTTTTTCATCCGATAGGGATGACTCTATTGATTTGGTTGATCCACTCATAGAAAAGGTCAGAAAGGAAAAATCAAAGAGAAGTTGTGGTTCATTCCCTGCATTTCCACCTAAATATAAGCATCATACCAAAGAGGTAACTGCAAGCAGTTCACCTGAAAATGATATGTAAGACAAAAATGTGTCTATTTTCTTAATTTTTTCATATTAAGAAAAAAAGGATTTCTTAAAATATTTAATTGGCTGTACCCTCCATCTGCTTTAATTTGCCAGATCAATACTTGTAAATAATGATGACGACTCAAGCAATTTTAAAGACCAGGACCTACTTTTTCAAGGAAATAGTAGTGGTTCAACCGCAACAAGAAGAGTTGATTTACATAATTCAAGTGGGAACAGTGTACCTACAATCAGAAAAAGGCCTTCATTTTCAGTCCGTCAAAAGTTTGCTGCAGGCATTGTAGACAGCCTTGTTTTAGAAGGAAAGAAACAATTCCCAATTGAAAGTTAGTTGAAGCTGTATTCTCGAGGAAAATGCTTTAGTCAAAATGATGTCATTTTGACCTTTCAGGTCAAAATATCGTCCTTCCAAGTATGGACTTAAAAGTCAGAATGACATTCCAAGACCTTATTTTGACCCCATTTTGACTAAGTTTTCTCACTGGGAATTGTTGCAGTATTTATTTCCATTCATTTTCTTAAAGGTTTTTGCCTTGTTTTGTTTATAGAGTCAACTTACCTTATTTTTCCAGATGATTGTGTCTCTCACTGGCAACGCGATGTTGCATCAAATCTTACTGAGCTTTTCAGGAAGCGGTATGTTTATTATTTTATACTGAGCGTATAATATGCAAGAACCTTTAGTGTTTCCTTTTAGCAAATGTTTTATCATAAATTTTACAGTCATGGTATTTTTTTACACTCAACATATTCATTGGAATCTGATGAGGTACATAAAAAGGATGCATCCCTGCAGAAAGAACTTTTGGGAAAGGAATCTGATAAACCACTAGATCAAGACACCAGGCTCTACCAACTTTTGGGAAAGGAATCTGATAAACCACTAGATCAAGACACCAGGCTCTACCACAACAGAGATAAAATGGGAGTAGAAAATAAAATTGTGACTAACTCAAACGTAGAACGAAAAATGATAGATCAAAATCCTATGTTGTGCAGTAAGAGTGAGAAAGATTTCAAGCAGAAGAGTACAGAGGCATGGGTGAAAGCCATACACCCTGATTTCCAGAATAATGATAAATTTTATAGCAAAAAGAAATGCCAGAAAGACAAGATTTCTGTACCACCATGTGAAACTACCAACCAAACAGAAACGGAGTTTTTAAAGAATTTTAAGAAGAGTGCTGTAGTCAAATCTACTGAAAACCCATTTAAAATTCTGAGCCAACCTGCACCATTGTGGAACGAAAGAGAAAAGAACATTTTTTGGCCAACATCGCCAGTTTTGTCTCCAGTTATAGATCATGTGCCACCTGCTCCAATACCTCACTATTCAGAAGTTGGATGCCAGCTGAATTCTAATCATGGCCACTTTTCTAAAAAATCAAAGATAGATTTATACAACAAAGACGGTTTCTGCAGCAGAGAAAATGGTGTAAACTGGTATGTATTATCACGATTAGTTTCACTCAGCTTTAGTTGGATTTCTGCTTACCACTGTTCATTTACTCCTGGAAGGTATCAGGATAGTCCGAATGCAGCAATTGAACCACCAAAACCCCATACTTCCTGGTTTTCATGGTTAAAAGGCAGCAAAGGTGAGTTCACTTGCATGTATTGAATTTCTACTTTGTCCTTTTTGTTTGAGCAGGATCTTTTACAAGTGTTGTATCTTTTCATCAGAAAAGGGTGACCCTTTAAGTTCTGCAGATCACTTTGAATTTAATCCTCCTGTTTCAAAAAGAAGTAAGGTCTGTACCTCCCTCCTGTGTCGTAAATGAAGTGCATTTGTTATTATATACTTACAAACAGCATCAATTACTGTTAAATATATTTTTATTTTTCCCCATCAGAATCACATTGAAAAGGTTTATGATCAATCAAAGAACAAGGCAATTTCTCTTGCCAATACATCAGAAATGTGGGGTCAATTCCCTAAGATAGCAAGAAGGAGTTATGAGGTAACTGACTTAAATTTAACTGAATGTTTGAAAAGTTTGAACTAACAGTGAAATACATCAATGCTAAGTCTGAATTTTTTTTTTTCAGTCATATCCAAGAGAAATTAAAATTGAAGATCTTGGATATAAGAAACAAGAACATGTCAGTAATAAAACCTCCTTAAACAGTCAGTATATTAAGTTTTCACCAAGAAGAATGTTTTAATGAGTGCATACAGTTTTCAATAGAAGTGCTCTATAGACTACATTTGTTAGTGAATTTGAACAAAAATAAAAAAAAGGGAATATTTACTTTCTCCATTTGATTGAAAATTGGAGCAGCCACTCACAACAGAGACTTTGCAGCCAAGAGAAATAGACGAATATTAAAGAAAATCAGTTCAAGGTATGGAGATCAATTCTCTTAAACAATACCTATAATTCATAATATCCAAAATGCAATCGTTTCGAAACAGGCAACACAGTTGTACATGATCAGATGGTCTTTATCATGCACTAGCATATGCATCAACAAAATAGAAGCTAGCTTGCAGTTTCCTGTCGTTTCTGCTCTTGTTGTCTCCAGTATTCTTCTTGTAATTCTTCTAGGTTTCTCTCAAGTGCCTCAACCTCATCAACTCTTTGAGCTAATCTGCAAATAAAACATTGTGAAGAAAAATAAGTGTAAAGCTACATGGAAAACATGAGATGAATTATTTTGGCAGCAAAAATAGATTAGATTGGGTTTCTTACTTTGCCTCCTTTATGTAATGCTTTAGATTATTCATCTGCTGTACCATAGGGTCGTCTGAGTTAAAAAGCCTTGCTTTTTCAGGAGTCCACCCAGAATCAAGCAGGACCTATGAATAATAGAGGATTAATTTGATTTGTAAGGCCTTGTACACAAATATATATTATGTTTCAAAAACTTAATAAATGACTCACTGTATCTTGGTGGACATTCACATGATTTCTATCAAATGTCTGTTTGTCTCGTCCCTTTTCTCTCACTTTTTGCTTTTGGAGCTGCAATGAAGCCTGGGCTTCCAATTGTTCCTGTTGTATTCGAGCTTTAAGTTCCTGTCTGAAACATTATTGGTCTTCATTAGTGTTGCATTTACATGTTAGGAATTACAATAGAATATATGTTAAGAACCAATCATCCATACGTGTCCTTCGAATGTTTTATCAAGCAGGGGACACAAATTGAGTTTAGGGACACACACCTGCGCTGTTCTTGCATTTCCAAGTATTTTGCCTCCGTTGGTAATGTTGGAAGGCCTAACATCTCATTGCGAAGAAATGCAGTGGCTGCTGCTCTGATTTGTTGCTGAAGCTGTAACGCTCTGCCTCTAGGAGGATTTTCAGTATCAGCACTTCCCAATACTAAAATCTTTTTGCTGGTAAAAGAAGATATAACTAATAACTCTGTATAATTAGCAGTAACAATAAAACTCTTAACCAATACTCATGATAACTTTTGCAACTACGCACCTAAGTGAATCAATGTTTTCAGCAAGCCGAAGCAATTTAGCCCATAATGCTTGAGCTTCTTTAAGTTGATATGTAGATTCTCCACAGCTAGAAGGGGAAAATTAAAACAGCTCATGTAATAATGGGCCAAATCAAAACTATGAATGGATAGATTACAAATGCATTTGATTATATTATATCTGTCACCTTATTGAGTTACACATCTTAATATATGTGGGAAGAAACTGGTTGGCGTCTTGCATGTAAGTCCTTAAACGCTCATAAAATTGTATCAAAATGGGTCTTGCTGCCCTACTCTCTCTCAATGCTTCTCTGCTCTCTAAAAGCTGGAATAAAAATTTTCAAATCAGTAATTTTTACAGCCAAAAGATCAACAAAAGAAGAAGCTTGCTTACATGAAGGCACTCTTTACAGACACGTAAACCAGTGTCTATTTGGTGAACTCCTTCAACTAATGACAAAACTGAGTTAAGACTGGAGTTAGAGTTTGATCGTTTTAATTTTTGAGAGGGTAATGATGAACCTTGAAGTTCGGTTTGTGGCTCAACTTGAGATATAGGACTTGTCATTTTCCCTAAAAGAAATAAGAATAAGAGAAACTGATTTTCACTCGATGACATAAAAAAAAGTTACAAGTTTGTTATTATTAGCTTACTAGCAGTATCAAGAGCAAGAGAGTAACTGCAATCATTGCACATGACAAAACCACAAAGTCGGCAGTGATGTTTTCTCCTGGTCAGGTGAAATGATCTGCTGCAACTTGGACAGAGTCTAACCATTTTTTCATCCACCCAAGGAACAACTTCTTGCTCATGGGCTGAAATAAAAATGTCTTTATTAGTTCTTTCAGACATAGACATAAATGAGGAAAAACCTTTTCAAAGACCTTGTCTATTAAAATTCTACGTACCTTTTCTCTTTAGAGGATCTGAAGGTAAATCTTTCAGTATTTTATCTAGACGTATCAATAACTTGTTGGTTTCAACAGTATAATGCTCCAAGTGCTGGCTACGGACTGCAGAGAACTGTTGTGAATGTGAACGAACCGCTCCTGATTTTTTGGTTATATTAAAAATAGTCAGAATAGTGCAGAGTAGTATTAAAAGAAATCAGAATTGTCAGAGTGATTAGATTTTACCAATAGGTTGTGGTTCATATAAGCTAGGTGAATAGCCCATAACTTTTCGGGAAGAAGCTTGGATTTCTCCTTCATTTCCATAAACACCATCACTTTTCAATATTTTCTTCTTTGCTTTGCCAAATAAATCTGAAACCAAAAAATAAATTGTTAATAAATTGGCACCAATTGAAATAGGCACACCCACTTCATAAAAATACTTGCCTTTAAACGCTTGTAAAACATCCTTGTCCTCATTATGTTCTTTCTCAAAGTGGGACAGTAACTTAACTGCTGTACCGAAGTCAGCCTTACAGACAGGGCAGAGAAATCCCTCTAATACTGAGCCTCCACCTTCTGCCATCCTTTTGCTCTCAATGGACTCAATGGATATGTTTTCTTTCTATGTTATAGTGTTCACTATGACTACTGAATGTGTTATGTTCAGTTGAAAAGGCATCGGACGATCAATCAAACCTCAATGTCACATGGTACTTAAATCACGTACAAAATCATTAGTTGGCTTTGCTAGAATCTAAGTTGTGACAAGTGGTACGAAGTGATGACAGCACGGAAGACAGGTTAAGAGGACGACGAAGCAGACCAAAACCACCAAAACACGATGGTCTGCATTGTTGCCAAACGTACCCTATGTATGAGATTATTCACAGGCTGTTGCACGTAGCATTATTCGCAGTTGTCACCACCTCATCCCCCCTCTCCCCCCCCCCACTCTTGTCAACGGGCTATTTTAGCAGGCGTTGCAGGATTGAGTCGCCAGCATGGATGGAGCTTATGACTCCATGCTAAGGGCTAGGGATTATTGAACTTTATTTGCTTTTGTTGTTTCTTTCAAGAAATTACATTTATTTTGAACTTTCAAATTTGTTGTAACAATTTCACACTATCTGAAGAGTACAATTAAACTTAAGTCTCATTTCACTTTTGCTTCTTTAACAATTTACATGGCAGTGATTATTATATGGCACATCACAAAAAAAAAATAATAATAATTTGAGAAATTTGAAGGAATTTTATTATTTTGACCTATGTATCTATTAGAAACACAAGAACAGTGCATGAGATGTAAATGGTATCAATACATTATCATTCTCTCATTCGGTGCATTGTTTCAGTGCAAAATTTCCACTTTTCTCAGTCATCAATCCTTATTTTTGGAATGCTTGATTACTTGTAAAATAAAAAGAAAGAAAGGAAGAACCTACTGTAAAATGCTATTCAACGCTAACGACGAATCTTCTCTGTCAAAGAAAGTGATTTGTTCAGTCATGTATATATTTTTTGACAAATTAGGTGTGATGGTCTTCGAATGATATAGCCACAGCCACGTGGCTGTAGCGCGCGCTGGGGCTGGGCCTTCCCTCCCGGCCGGTCACGGACACTCTCGCACGTTCAGCTTCCGCAGCTGGTCCAGGTGGTACTGCGCGAGGCGCCGCCGCCGCTCCTCCCACGCCACGCCGGCCGCGCCGTGGTGGTGACGGATGCGGTGATCTGCAACATGAACATCGTGGGGGGCTTGCGTCTTGCATCAGAGGCAGGTCGGTGCCACTGGCACGACCAATGCTGATCGTCAGAGGACACACTTACGCTCCAAGCGTCTCGTCGTTACGGACTGCGCGCCCGCCACGCTCTCCTCGTACACCGAGTCACCGGGGACTGCTCCTGGCCGGCCGGTGGTGGTCGTGGTAGTGGTGGTGGCGGGGGAGGTTGTGGTGGACGGTGCGCTCCGCGGCAGGTCCCACGAGAAGGACGTCCTGGACGAGACGTGCCTGACGGCGGGTCCCGTGGCCCACCTGCGGACGGAGAGGGTCGCCGGGATGGCGGGCGTCCTCTGCTGGGTTTGGGCGTGCTGCGGCCAAACCTGCATGGCGGGCGCGGTGGCGGCGGCCACGGCCACGCAACGCACCACCCCAGACTGTGGAAGGAGTGTCCAAGTTTTGTTAAAGAAATACTTTTAAAAAGCGGACGGGTCCGCGGGCTTGGCTAGTAGTTTGATTTTCTCACTGGTGTGCGCCGAGGTGTTGTTCCTCTGAGGCAGGGCTCCGCTGGCGGCCGCTCCCTACTGCCGCCGTTGACGTAAGCGTGATGCGCGTAGTAGCCCTGGTGGTTGTGGTAGCCAGTGCGCCTCTGTTGGGAAGACGAAAAAGGTTCAGGGCATCCCACTCTGGCTCAGGAAAACTCATCGAAAGAAATTGTTTTGAAACTTACCTGGGCACTTCGCGAAAACGGGAAGGTGTACTCTGCAACAGAGAGGTAAACTTGTAAGACACTAAGGACCCCAGAGAACGATTGCTCGGCCGGGTAATATCCTCACCTCTGACCCCGATGCTGAAGTGGCAGCTGGCTCGGTTGCCCGCCGCGTCTCGGGCGAGGTACGTCACGTAGTGCAGTCCGGGCGACAGGGATTCGCCGGGGTCCTTGGTCCGGAGCAAAGCCTCCACGCCAACGTTGTCGGTGAAGTGCGGCTCGACCCACGAGACGGGGCGCGAGGCCTCGCCGGGGGACAGGTGCACCTCAAAGGAGAGCGGGCAGCGCCACACGCGCGGCCTCTCCACGTCTAAGAGAAAACGATAGGAAAAGATTCACGAATGCGCCGCAAACAACCGACAGGTTTGAAAGACAACGGGACTCACCCCGGACAAGGATGGGCACCGAACAGGAGGAGTTCGCACGGCTCACGGGGCTGCTGGCCACGAAGGTAATGGTGTACGAGCCCGGGCCGAGCTCCGCCGACAGCCGCTTACCCCACACCGGCACGGACTCGACATGCCTGCGGACAGGGAAGCGTAAGCAC